GTTCCAGTGCTTCACCACCCTCTCCGTGAAGAACTTCTTCCTGATATCTAATCTAAATCTCCCCACTTTCAATTTAAACCCATTACCCCTTCTCCTGTCACTACAGGCCCTTGTAAAAAGTCCCCTCCCAGCTTCCTCGTAGCTTCTATACAGGTATTGGAAGGCTGCTGTAAGGTCTCCCCGGACCCTTCTCTTCTCCAGGCTGAACAAGCCCAACTCTCTCAGCCTGTCCCCATAGCAGAGGTGCTCCAGCCCTCTGAGCGTCTTCATGGCCTCCTCTGGACTCACTCCAACAGGTCCATACTCTCCTTATGTTGAGAGCCCCAGAGCAGGATGCAGCACACCAGATGGGGTCTCATGATAGCAGAGTGAAGGGGGTGAATCCTCTCCCTCGACCTGCTGGCCACACTTCTCCTGATACAGCCCAGGATACAGTTGGCTTTCTGGGCTGCCAGCGCACACTGCTGGCTCCCGGTCAGCTTTTTATCCCACCGTCCAGCTTTTCATCCACCAGTACCCCCAAGTCCTTCTCCTCAGGGCTGCTCTCGATCCATTCTCCACCGAGCCTGTACTTGTGCTTGAGATTGCCCCGACCCAGGTGCAGGACCTTGCACTTGGCCTTGTTGAACTCCATGAGGTTGGCAGTGGCCCACCTCTCCAGCCTGTCCAGGTCCCTCTGGATGGCATCCCTTCCCTCCCACATGTCAACCGCACCACACAGCTTGGTGTCATCAGCAAACTTGCTGAGGGTGCACTCAATCCCACTGTCCATGCAGACAAAGATTTCTTATACGATTAAGAATGACACAAAAAGAAAAACGTAAAACATGACAGTAAGGTGTCTTTTTCTAAATCTTGCAGGGTTTTTATATGTAAGTGCAATGTGTTTATATGTAAGTGCATTAACAAAAAAGCATTATTTTCTCTTTGAAGTGGAGAATAATTGTTTTAAGTTTCACTTTTAAGTTTCCTTTTTTTTTTCTTAAAAAAAAAAAAGGCCTTGGTTCTTAGTGTGCACTAAGAACCAGTTACTGTTTAGAGATGGAAAGATCTGTGCACAACAGAACCTGTTTTCGTTTGTTTGACCAACAAGATAACAGGTAAAACATTTAATTCACAAAAAAAGCAAAGTGGTCAGTTCATTATGAATAAAACACATCTTAAAAAGTGAATGTTTACATCCTACCTTGTGACTGTACAAGCTTCAGAGAAAAGATTTTTTAACAAGAACGTCTATGTAAAAATATTTTATCAATGTAACACAAGATAAAGACAAGTAGCTATTTGTAGTATAATCGGACCACAGAACTGGATTGCGATGAGACACCAAAAAGTAGTCAAAATGTTTTGTTACATCAGAGCCATTTATACCACAAACTTTTTATAAATACACTTGTTGATTCAGGTCAATATGTAACAGTTCATCATGGAACTAAATGTAAGAGATTTATTAATTACATTATATGATAAAGGCTCATTCCTTCAAGCTTTCTGTGATGCTTTCCTGACACATGATGAATAAAGTTCTGTATTAACAATGCCCCTTGAGAACAGCAGAATGCTAATTCAGCAGTTGCACACAGCATGCCCAGAACCTGGATGCTGGTAAAACTACTAGCCCCAACTGCATTAGCTCCCCTCTTTTTAAGTCTAAAGGACTGTTATACTTAGTGTTGCTAATTATTCATGTCAAGCTTTCAAAATGGAATGGTTCACATGACGTTCTCTCAAACAGTAGAAATTCCCACATTAATCACAATCTATAAGGTACGCATTTGATCAACTACCACTTTTAACCTATCTTCACTAGTTCTTAATGTAAATACTGTCCATCTTCAAATTTTTCAGACAACCTCACTTCTCATACAAATTTTTTAAACACCGTACTGAAGCGACCTAACAGTTATGTAAGAGTACCTGTACACTAACATAATTATTTCAGATTTCAACCGATTTGCTTGACTGAGGCCTACATAATGAATTTATGCAATGGTTAACGCAGCAGCTTAAAAAAAAAAATAAATCAATCTTTCAATTAAATCTGAAGTAATAAAACAAGTTTGCAGAATAGGACTGTACAAATTTGATTCAACATAAGTAATACTTTTCATTAAGAAGCAGCCTCTTCAGGGTTAACAGCTGTGTTACAATGGAAGGTCTAGTGTTTAGCAGTGAGTAAAGTGTTTCAAGGTGGTCACTATGGACAGTACGGTACGCTTTCTCAGCGATCAGAAAAGACACCAGAAAGGAAGCTGTGTTTTTTGTAAGTTAAAATACAAAATTATAATGGGCAACTACTAAGTACATCTTAGCCATACAGTATGGATGACAAAAATGCACTGATCAAATAAAATATCAATAGGAGAGAATAATATGAAAAGAGTTAAAACTTCACAGATGTTTCATCAATTCCAAATGATGGTAGAGATACAGTAAAATGTCAAAGGAATTGGCACAGAGTCACAAAGAAGGTGTAGGTGTGTGTTTTCAAAACCTTCTGTCATTTTTTATCCATCACCTGAATTAAAAAAACTGCAACTGGCAACAAGGAAAAAAACACAAGCCAAAACCCTAAAACAAAGATACTGAACTAACACTGAATTTCTGACATAAATAGTCCACGCAGTACCCTGAATTCATTTTCGTGTGCTTCAGAGAGCTCTGCTCATGCTCAGTTTCAGACATCTATACATTTTATCATAATAAAGTAACACTGAAAAAGCAAGGGAGTCCCAGTTAAGCTTCACCCTTAATCACTTAATGGGAAAATTATTTGAACATTAACTACATCTTAGCAACCTGCTGCATATAAGTTTAAAGATGTTTGAATCCTTCAGAAAATAAGCATACATCCTCTACATAAAAGCAAACCCCACAACCCATAAACTGCATCATGAAAAAACCCCAGGTTTTGCATTTTCTGTCTATCATTTCTAAAGTTACCTTATACTCATTTGTAGCAATCCGCTCTGGTTCTTTTCTCTTCTTTTTCCCCTTTTTATCCTTGGTGTGCTGACTACCAGAGGCCTGGTAAGACTGTAGATCCACTCGTGAATGAAATTGGTATCGGCCGCTTTCCACATCACAGTAGTAATAAATTCCGGTTGCTGGATCATAATACAGTTGATTTTCCTTTGTAAGAAAAATAAAGAACAATGTTATCATTAGTTCAATAAATACGCTATTCAAAGAAAGATCCAGTTGATAAAGAACCACATACTAAGTTAAAAACCAAAAATCCTCAGACTAAAGAACTGTGGTGGTTTGACCAAGTAGCACAGCAGTGTGGGCCACTGCCAACCTCATGG